TAATATCGAATAAAGAATAGCGGCACGTAAAATTGCGAGGATAAAATAACAATCAGCTGAAAATGACAGGCGTATTCGCTCTGGCGCAATAAACGGATTTAATGTCTTAAGTAAATTGAACAGCACTTAATCGAAAAAAATCATATTATGTTACTGTTTCACCTGAAATCTAATTTCGAAATCTGTTATGTGTGCTTTAAGTCTAAATATCAGTTAACGATAATACTTAGCAATAAAAATTACTGTTTACAACACGCAAGCTTAACGTTTTTCATAAGCTGTCAGTTAAATATGATATAGAAAGAAGGACTTTAATGTGTAAGCGATATTTCTTGAAAATTAAATATTTGATGAAAAACAAACTAGACGAGAGAGATACGTTCCTTTTATTTTCGTATCTGTATATCCAAATATAAATATAAATAGTGCCGTGTCGTTCATGAGTGCGCGACCCGATAAACAAAGGGACGAGCAACACCGTATTGCCGGGGAAAATGGAAGCTGCGGACTTGGAGCTTGAAAGTTTTGAGCCGGGAGGAGGGGCGGGTGAGAAGAGGAGCATCCGCGAAAAGTTAGTATCGTTGATTTGGAGACGACGAGCTCGCATCTGCCGCGGCGCGGCGGTTGAGATGGATGGGACGGAATGCAGATCGAGAGGGATGCGGATGGACAGACAGTCGGGCGCATCGTTGAAGGGTTGCACAGAGTGAAAAGGGACGCTGTGGCGGATCCCGATGGCGTTGCACCGACGAGAGCTGCAGCCCCATAGGCGACTATGCGCACCAGACGGCTATCGGGGTGCAACGAGAGTGGTGGCAGGAGGCGGAGCGACGTCGATAGGAGGGTTGCTACCGGTCGCTCTCGCGATGCTCTTGATGGAGGGTTGGATCGGCGCGAGCTCCTATGCGCGTGGAGGCGCAGCGCCGCGCGCGGGCCACATGCGGCGTGCGGCATGCGGCGCGACGACGCGCGCGCGATTTTTATGCTTTTGCGTTCGGTACTTCTTCTCCCGGTGTCTCCCGGCTCGCGAAATTGGCAGCGTGAATCTTAAGATTTCGCGTGATTCCAAGGCGATCGCTAATTGTCCACGGTTCTTAATTGAAAAATTGTTTCGCAAAGAACTTTGAGCCGTTCCGCCGCTATGGCAGGGCGAGTCTGACGATGAGAATACTTTGGAGATTTTCAAGAGAGACACGCAACTCATTCCTAGTTCGCTGCTGCGTCATTGTCTCGCGCAACTTTCCTCGGTTTTTTTTCCTCTCGAGAACTATTTTTATATCGCAATACCGCACCGCAATATTCTTCGTGGCAAATCGCGATTTTATTAACGTAGTTTTTTTTACGGCTGCGTCGTATACGGGACATTAACTCGTTAATTATTACGTGATACCGACAAGGAATATTTTATAATTATACGTTTTATTTACGTTCGTTATAGCGTCATTGAATAATCATGCCTTCGAATAGACGAGTACGTAGTATTGAAGTGGCTTTTGAATGCATTAATGAGAGAAGAGGGTGTGCGTAATTTACTGACGAAGAGAACAGGTAAAGAGGGAGAACAAAGGGGAGACCTGTAATAGGCAACAGGCATGTTACATACCCGATATATGCTGGGGTGTCTCGGCGCAATTTAATTTGTCGTTTAAGTGCACATATTACATTGTGGTGCTTATTGCAACGCGACAGTTAATGTCGCAATGTTTCGATACGTTTTGTTAACATATTGAGGCTTAACGATCAATTTTCTCATAACGGACAACGCATTGTTACTACTAATTATTGTAGATAAATAATAGCGCATTAATTTATTTATCACAAATGCGTGAATTAATTACACCCAAGAGGAGTCCACTGCGGATCTTGAATAGTCATCAATATGTTTCAACGACTGGCTGTCTTTCCCCCCCCCCCCCCACTTTTTCTCCCACTCTCTGAAAGTCAATCAGTGGATTGTCACTGAAAACAGTGAATAGTCACCGATTCACAGTTATTAGTGTACGACTGAAAATCGCAGTGGTATACTTAAAGCTGTAAATCAGTGACTATTCGCTGTTTTCAGTGGCAATCCACTGATTAATTTTTAGAGAGCACGTACGGTTAATTGTCATTTATTCACTCATGTATAAGATATGCACGATTTATAACTATTGCACGTCGGAGGACATGTTGTCTTCGCAGACGGCACGCATTCGACAAGCACGTGCCGAGTTGTTGATCTAGAAGAAATCCGATTCGACGCGAGTACGTTTCGTACGCTGCGGGAACCAAACGTGGACAATCGGACAGAAAATGTGTCATTAAAAATATTGCCATTTTAGACGCGTGTCAAGTCATACGTCGAATGCACACGACGCGATTGTTTAAGAGAGACTGCGCTGACCGTTCTTCGTACTCTCCAAAAACCAATCGGCAAATTATCGCTGAAAGCAGTGAATAGTCACTGACTTACAGCTGTAAGTAGACTCTCTACAGTTTTGGAGTGAAAATAGAACCACGGAGTAAAATATTTACTCTATTAGAGTGAATATTTACTCCAATGACCATTCACTGTTTTCAGTGACAATCCATTGATTGAGTTTTAGACAGCACGTACGGTTAATTATCATTTATTTACTCATATATAAGATACGCACGATTTATAACTATTTCATGTCGGAGGACGACAACCGATAGAGCGAGTATTTTACTCCATGGTTCTATTTTCAGTCCAAAAACTTTAGAAAGTACCGCCGCGATCTTCAGTTGTGTACTTACAACTGCAAATCAGTGGCTGTTGATTGTTTTGAGTGATAATCCACCGATTGACTTTTAGAGAGTACGATTTAAAAAGATTCGGGAGGAAATGTCAGATTTATAAAAAGTCAGTTGCATAAAGAGAAACTGCCCTCCGGTTTTCAACATTTACGCGGTCGTGCAAAAATGTTATGCGTGCCGCCAGTCTCTTCGGTTAGCGATCGCGTCGGGACGTCGTAGTCGGCGTTGACACGGGCGTCGCGACGTCGCATTTCTCCTCGGCAGTTTCATAACGCGGAAGAGAGCCGCGCGATTCGCTTCCGCCCGATGCGAATCGCGCTCCGCACGCGTTCCCGCGCGGAGTCAACCGCGACGAGAGGAAAAAGGGAGAAAGAGAGACAGAGAGGATACGCGGCATCATCCCCCGAGTGTGTACGCATGTAAATGACAGTGGAGGGGTGTGCGAGTCGGCAGCGGGTGATGATGAGCAGGAGGAAGAGAGAGATGACGGGGAGAAACAGAGAAAGCAGGCGCGGAGCGAAGGAGGGTGGCAGCAGCGAGATAGACAGCGGGAGAGCGAGACGGAGACGTGTTGTAGGCAGTAGTCGCGTTACTTCCGGTCGAGCGGGCGCTGCGCCTGGCAGCTGCGGAGTTTGCAGGAGGCCGGGGGGTTGTTGTTGCACATCCACGCGCCCCTTTTGCGTGCCCATCCGTCCACCCCCTGTCCCCCTCCCCCCCCCTGCCGCCCTTCCACTCCCTCGCCTATTCGAGTCTCAGCCGCGGTCCCCGCGCGCCGTCCGCCCATTCTTTTTTATCGTGCCGTATCGTCACATCGGTTCATTCTCTAATTCGATTAGTTTAAATGGCATTAAAACAATCCTGTTGCGAGTCCGCCTGACGCGCTCTCTCGAGCGCGAGCCGGCGCGCTCGCAGCTGTTCGCTTTCCTGACCGAAGTGTCCCTCGCGAGACGAATCTCGGCTCTGCGCCCCGATTTTTGTAATCTTGATTCCGCTTCGGTGCTTGATATAAGCCGTGTCCCGGCGACAATTCAGTAATTTACACGTCATTGTTGCAGTACTGTTTTTTTTCTTGCATCTATGTATTTTGTGTATTGCACTCCATGCCGATTCAATATTTGTTATATACTGCTAAATCAGAGAACCTCAGTTTCCTAGCCGAAAATTGATGTAAATCTATGCGCACGCCTCGACAATGCAAAAGATGGAAAAACGTACCGAAAGTATCCAAAGCCTAGTAACTGCCTGACTGCCTATCCTCGAGCTGCCGAAAAAAACATCAAGGCGAAAAAAAAAAGCAGAATCGGGCAAAGTGCAGAGCGGCGGACCGACATATATCCTCCGTCGCGTCAAAGGCAATACGCAGCGTATCGCCGAATCGCCGGGTCAGAGGCCATTAGGTTCGTGAGTTATGAGACAAGTTCTAATACTCCAATAATCCGGCTGTCGATCGCTTAGCTCGCCTAGCCATATATACGAGACGCGCGTGTGCGTGCGCGGGCACGCGCGCACGCCGAGAGCGCGAGCCGAACTTTATTCGAGCCGATCAGCCGCACGCCTCCCTCCCATCTCGCCGATCCCCCCTGGAATCTTTTCCCTTCCTGCCGGCCCTCGGTTTCACCCCGGGCGTCCCTTCGGACCTCCGGGCCGCTGCACGGGGGTGGGTCTCGTCGCCGCGAAAAACCTTCTCCCGGCCCGGCTCCGCCAAGTCAGTGTGAAATTCGGCAGCCCTTATTAAAGCTCGCAACCACCCTCCTGACGCCGATACCACCGTCGTTCCCCACGAGCACGAACAACACCCGGATCATCGGCCTCCTCGCGATATTATCCCACTGACTGGGCGCTAACGTCGAACATATACAGCTCGTTTAAATAAAATGTAGTTTTTTCCTTACTCTGCTCTCTAAAAGTCAATCAGCGGATTATCGCTGAAAACAGAGAATAGAACCTGATTTGCAGTTACAAAGGCCTGCGTTCAAGATGCTGGAACTTGGACCAAGTTGTAGCATCGTGGACACAGCTTAGGCCTTTAAGTATACCACTGAAAATCGCAGTGGTATACTTATAACTGTAACTCAGTGACTATTCACTGTTTTCAGTGATAATTCACTGCTCAATGCTCGGTCTAGATATATTATTTTCTTCAAATTGCCAGTATAATACTAAAATTCCAAATTTTATTCGACCACAGCTGGCCACATTTGTTAATTTCTCTGTCAATGCAGAAAAGTTATTGCGAAAAATATTACCTCAGCCAGGGTTCGAACCTGGGCCTCTCTGCACTCTAGGCGAGCGTCTGACCAATTCGACCACCAAGGCGTATGATAAATTTTCTGCATTGACAGAGAAATTAACAAATGTGGCCACAGCTGTGGTCGAATAAAATTTTGAATTCTAGATATATTATGTCTATGATACCCACAGAATTAAATATAAAACCAGCGAAGGGTGGGGAAGGCCGACGCGAGCCGTACGCAGGTATTAAGGTGTAGTCTTTAAAATATAGTCACGGACAATTTAATAACAAAATGTAAAATACAAACGCTTATTAAATTAAGAATTAAATATCTTTTAAAGAAAGACTTTCGGAATATTTGATCGTTGCGCATTTTGAACGATACGTTTAGCAACATTCTACACTCCCTACTTCGGATATATTTTTATGCGAAATATGTATTTCGACTTTGCCAGGCTTGCCTTACGTCTTCGTCGTCGTTGCGTAGTCACACTGTTATCGACTCGCTGACTCATCCCGTTCCGCCATACATTCGCGGCATTCGCAAACCTCGACGACGATGGCCGAATCGGGGTCGCGCGCGAGAGCTGTGTAACTAAATTTAAAATTTTTACTTACTTCCAGGCTACTGCACACCCCTCGGCCCCCGTCATTACTCGCTGCAATCAGCGAACCCCCCGCTCTATCCGCCCCCGTAAGCGCCACGCTTTTCCCTCTTGCGATCTCCCGCCGCTGTCTTCCGCCGCCTTGCGCGACCGCCCGTAACCGGATTAACTGCAGCTATTTGATAAACGGCCGATACAACGGCCGGGGAGACAACGGGACACATTCGAACACTTCGCACGAATTTTGCAGGGCAGGGAAACGCGCGGGTCCCGTTGATTTCGCGAATCAGCGCGTGCTGACAGTTCAGAAGACTTAGGTAAACTTTCTATTGTTGGAAATGCGCGTGTCTCGGAAGCTAAGATCGTCTCTCGTCGAAAATTGAACATTCTCGTGTATCGCGATACAACAGTTACTGGCAAGACGCCTGAAAATAAACTGATATGTTTGAAAAGCGATTTTCACTATTCACGGCGCGCCAACTGTACAACCGCGAAGTAAATGATTTTTCAACAGCGCCAAGGAGCTATCGTGAGAAATACAAGTATTATTTATGATTTTGTGGAGCCTTCATCACTCATCTTATACGCTGCTTGCACCCATGCGTCTTTCAGCCTTTTTTGAATTTATCAAACGAGACTTCGAAATTGAAAGCACCAGCTTGATAAATTGGATCAAACTTGAAAAATCTACTATGACAACTAGCTCACTGAAGAAGACCCAAAGATGGGTCGAAACATTTGAATAAAAGAAGTAGAATTTTTTCTACATCAAAACTAAGCATTGTGTTCCTTATTGGCTCACATTGGCCTTTATCTTCTCACTGATTTGTCTTTTTTGGAGCCTTCGCCGCTCATCCAGTATTATTTACGATACCTACGAAATATGATAAGATAAGAAGACGTCGTGTATCGCGTTTTACATTTTACGTCGTCGCTGCTATTAAGTCGGCCTTAAGGCCGATCGTAACGATTTTTCCAGCGAGTCGGGAAATCGTACGCGGGCGCTTCGTCATGCTCGATCGACGACCGTCAGAGCGATTTCCTTCCGACGGACGCTCTGGAGTATGCAGATCGACTTTTTCCGCGCGGCGGATACATCGACGGCAAGGATTCGCCATGGAGGAGAAGGAAATTATTCCGCGAACGTTCTCGATTACCATACGCGTAACCGGAGATTTTTGCATTTATGCCCGGTCGTGTAACGAGCTCGCAAAATGCGCTCTTCACGGTGCGCGGTCATTCTTCATTTTTGAAATACGAATATTACTTTCACGAGCGCCGCATTCGATAATACGCCAACAATTCATACGGCAATTTGCGCTTCTCATTTTGCACGCATGTTAATCTAAAGAGCATTTCGTAGAATTGTTTTATCGTGACCAGCGATCCCGATTTGCGTGCAGTATCCTTTCATCGCCAGATCAGCCAGCGGCCATTCGGCGTTTTTTCCCCCGCAATACGATTTATAGCGGGTGATATTATTACGTTCCATTTATACGAAAATTATTAATTTTTCCATGCTTTACGGCTTATTAACTAACAATTAGGCGAAAATATTTATCTGAATATGGAGATTGAAACGAAATGCGTTGGAAAAAGTGGTCGGTATCGGGGGGAGAGGGAGGGGGGGGGGGAGTTTGCACATAATTTATTAATTCACATCGCATAGCCCGCGGATATTCAAAAGAACAAAACGTTTTTCATTAATATTTTTTCGCATCGGTCCCTCACATGAGCGATTGATCAGAATAGTCCTATAATTTGCGTGAGTAAAACATAATTTCGACGTCACTGCGAACGAACCAGAATCTCCACGTTAAGTAACGCGACGAGATGTTCGCTGAAACGAGGGGAAAAAAATGTTCCGCGCCATTGTTCCGCTTAACGACGTAGACTTTATCGCGATTGCGGTACGAAACCGCGTCACGCGGTTTAGCGTCTTACGTTCTCAGGAAAGTTCATCGTAATAATCTGAGAAACGTTTTTACGGAATGCACGCTTCAAACACGGCTCTCGCTCGAAAAGTTCGGATGGGGAAACCAGAAAAGGAAAGTAAGTCGAAGCACTCTTGGGACTGAGGCAGGAGGACCGTGCGATCGCCAGATCGCTCTTATGGCGTAGAAAAGTTCACCTTTTTGTTCTGGCCAGACAGACAAGTTCTTGCTACCGTAACTTTTCTTGGCCGGATCGACGAAATGAAATATCGAAGTATGTTTCCCGACGAGGTTAGAAACTAATTATCTGTCACGATGGTGCCGCGGTTTATATTACCGTGACAAGTGCAGCAAGAGACTTGCCACACATTTTAAAAGAAATATAAAATATATACCTGTCATACAAATATATTTTTTTATTGTAGATATTTTATTCCTTTTTTTTCGGTATCTTTTATTCTTCTTCTACTCTGAAGGACTTGAAAATAGATTCACGAGATAAAACATCTACGGAACGCTTTTACGTGTAGGAAATTTCACGCCCATTTCGTACTAATAGAAACGCAAATTGTATTAGAATATCATTTAAAAGCTTTATATTTACCTGCAAAAAGTTTAAGTCACGTCTCGGTGATATTAAGACAAAAGACACTTAAACAATTGCTGTCGGCATTATGCAAATACTGTTACAATATTAATTTATTAACGTCGTAAAAAATGCAGTACCTGAGGTGATATATAAATTTTTTCACTCTGCCAATTTATGGAATGCAATTAAACGGCGGTCGAAAGCGCCGCGAGAAGAATTTTCTCAGGAATCTTATTTGTTATCCCTGCGAATCCGACGGCACCGCGGAAACAATCGCCGGCTAATTCTTTGGCCTTAATTACCGACATAAGAAGAATAAGATTTAGCGTACTTTTGTCCGGGAGACGGAAAAATGAGACATTGTCGCTTGAATCAGCGATGGTACTTTGTGCATTTACAGGCAAATGGGTCAAGCGAAAGCATTCTCGTGAGAGTCTATTGTTTTACGTTGTACGAATGAAAAGTCGACGGCATCAAGATAGCAGATGCAAAGATTGTATGTTCCGCAATCGCGTAAAATGTGCGAGAAAGCTCACGATTCAATTAAAAGCGTTTTCTTACGAAAACATATTGCATTCAAATGTACTTTTGTTGCAGCCAATGCTCGCCTAAATGCACCCGCGTTTCGTTCTCGGTGTTTTAATTAGAAATTTACGACGTGTAACATTTCAATTCGACATAATTAAACAAATAATGCGCAGTCGAGGAATTATGGGTGTTTTTAACAGGGAGCAGAGATGACCAAGGGAGATTTCTCGACGACACGATCGAAACTTCCGGCTCGACTCATCAGCACGCGTCACCCCATATTACGGATAACTACTCTTTCCGCTCGTTGCGAATCCCCATTGTCAAGGGAGCCCTTCGCGTAAGCGATACAGTTTGGGAGCCCCCCGCCATGCAGATCCCCTCGTAGAAAAGACGCTCTCCGATTCGACTGTCGTCCTCTCTCCTTCTCTCCGTCGCATCTTGTTCTATTTTTTCCATCTGACACATCTCTCACAATTTTCTATCGTTTTAGACAAAAGTCTAAAGAGATATCAGATAATAAAAACTGTACTGTTCATTTATTAATAAGAATTCCTTCATTTTGTGAATCTACGAATATATAATGCATACGTAAAAGAAATATGTAATCTCCCAAATATTCTAAATTCAAATTGGCGATGTTGAAACGGGATTCTCGATATCATTTTGTTGCTGCGTTACAATTGCCTTTTAAAGCGCGCAAAAGTGGTCGCAATTTCAACATTGTCGAGTAATGTGTTCCAGAGATGCGGAAGCACAAAAGCAAAAGAAAAAGATGAAAAAAACGTAGGGTAAAGAGTAACGGGAGAGAAAGACGAGAGACGTGGACAAGGGGGCAAATTTCCCCGCGATCTCGGTTCCGGATTAAACTTTAATTGATTCAAGTTCGTGGTCTCTCTCTGTACCCAGCGAGGCGCATAGAAGAGGAGGGACCCGCTGCCTCTCCCTTAGAGATCCACGGCGGTCCTTCTCTTCTTTCATTCAATGTCCTGCAGCAGGATGTGCCCATTATTCCCTTCCGCGGTAGGCCGGTTGAAACGTATCAACGTGAACGAGAAGAATACAATAATTCTGAAGAAGAGCAGAGAGGGTAAACCGTAGAAGCGAGACCGTGACAGCAATTGTCGTTCGCCTTCGGCTCAGGGGGGGAGCTATTTTTATTCTGCCGTGAACTCGGTCGAAAAACGATGTTTTATTTGTTCTATCATTAGCGATACCGCTCAACGCTTTAATTTCGGACTCATCGGCCATCGTAATTTTTATTCCGACAATGTACTTTCCGATCTCTCAATAATACTCTTATTTCCCAGTCGAGCTGTACACGTTCTGACGAATAACAATGCACGCAAAAATAAACATGTATACTTTTCGTTTGTATATTAAAGTTGATTGTACACGAATTTCATTACTTTTACGTAATTACATTT